ACAAACTGGGATTTAACACCTCCTGCCAGGCACGCTGTCAAGCAAACTCTGGACAGCTGGTGCCGTGGCCCACGCCTGTAATCTAGCACTCTGGGAGACCAAGAAGGGAGAATGGCTTGAGCTCAGCAGTTCAAGACCAGCCTGAGCAATAGCGAGACTGTCTGTACTAAAACTAGAAAAAGTAAGCCAGGCGTGGCAGCACATGCCTGTAGTCCCAGTTACTCAGGAGGCTGAGGCAGGAGGATCGCTTGAGTCCAGCAGTTTGAGGTTGCAGTGAACTATGATGACACCACTGTACTCTAGCCAGGGCATCGGAGTGAGACCCTGTGTCAAAAAAAAAAGAAGACCCAGCTCTGTGCTATCTATAACAAAACCACTTTAAATAAAGTGGTATAGGTAAGTTAAAAGTAAAAACAGTAAAAAGTAAAATGCAGCTCTATTCATAATCCCCCAAAACTAGAAATAAACAAATCTTCAAGGGTGAACAGACAAAACCATGGCATGTCTATACAATGGAATATTATTTAGCAATAAAAAAGTTATTGGTACACAGAAGATAGATGAATTTCTAAGGCTTAATGCTGAGTAAAAATGACCAATTTCAGCCGGGTGTGGTGGCTCACGCCTGTAATCCTAGCACTCCGGGAGGCTGAGGCAGGAGGATCACTCAAGGTCAGGAGTTCAAGACCAGCCTGAGCAAGATTGAGACCCCATCTCTACTAAAAATAGAAAGAAATTAGCTGGACAACTAAAAATATACAGAAAAAATTAGCCAGGCATGGTGGCACATGCCTGTAGTCCCAGCTACTTGGGAGGCTGAGGCAGAAGGATTGCATGAGCCCAGGAGTTTGAGGCTGCTGTGAGCTAGGCAGAAGCCACACTGCACTCTAGCCCAGGCAACAGAGCAAGACTCTGTCTCAAAAAAAAAAAAAAAATGACCAATTTCAAACTGCTACATACTATATAACTCCATTTATATGGCACTGTGGAAAAGCCAAAACTATAGCAATTAGAACAGATCAATGGTTGCCAGCAGTCAGGGGTGGGGGGAAGGTACGGCAGCAAGAGGGAGCCTTTTGGGATAAGGGAACTGAGGAAACCCTGGTTGTGGTGGTAGTTATATGAATCTATACATGTGTTAAAACTCATAGAACTGTAGACCAAAAAAGTCGATTTTACTTTGTTAATTTCTTAACATAAAGTAAAATAAAAATTCAGTGGATGATCTCCATGGACTCTTAGAAACTATGAGTCTATGAATAAGAAAAAGAGAGGAGGGAAAAAAGAAGACAAGGGAGAAAGCTAAATCCTACTGGCATAAAAGCCACTACTCACAAGAACCTTCATATGTACAAAGCAAACCCAATCTTCAGAAATTCCTTCCCAGAAGGGTTTTCTTAGCGAAAACCAGACATTCAGATCCAAAATGTGTACATTTGAAAATGCCTGTGACTGGCTCTTCTCGCCTGTTCCTATATTTTATACTTTCAAGAAGTTGCCAATTTCTCCTGGCTAAGTGCCACTTTCCCTGCTCGGGGTTACTCAATTTGCAAGCATCACTTTATTTGTACCTTATACTCTCACTTAGTGATGGGATCTTTGGCAGTCACAATAACGACTCTGCAAAGCACTCGCCTTTGCAGGGTGCCAGAAAGATCAGTGCTCCTCACCCGGAACTAAGGTCCCTGTGGGACATTGCTCACCCTCTCGACTAGTTCCAGACGTGAAGACGCTGGGCGGGGAGGTTTTCTCGAGTCAGAAAGCATGCCTCACCGCCAAAGCCACTCAGAGGCGGAGGACGCTGGAAGCCGGGCTCTGGGGCATTTCTCCCTCCTCTGACCTGCCCTGGCTCCTCAGTTGCAGGGGGATGTTTTGACGAGGGCCCCGGTGTGGGGACGTGGGCTGGAGAAGACTCTGCCCAGTGAGCTTGGGCAAGTCCCTTCCTCTCTCCGAGGGAAATCTGGGAAGGTCGTCTAAAGGAGCCTCCCACTGCCCCCTTAGAGTTCAAAACTTTCTGGGCCCCCGGCGCCAACAGGGAACCACACTCGCCGCTCACATACCCCGCCCCGGCCTTCCTCGCTCCACTCACCCCCCGACCCGCGGGAACTAACACACCCGCCTGAGGGCACAGCCCGAAGGCAAGAGGAAAGCAGAAAACACCAAATCCCGGTCTCTGCACCCTCCACCCCAAGCAGGCCTCCGGCCGCAATACGACTCGGCCCGCCCCCCCGCTGCGGTCACGGCCCGCGGGTCCGGCTTCCACTCAGGGGAAGTGGAGAGCGCGCCGGCAAGGGCCGGGCTAGGGGCCCGGACGGGGGGCGCCCACCTTGAGCTGAGACTTGGAGACCTTGCCGCTGTGGTCCAGGTCGAGCGCGGTGAAAGCGTGCCAGATGGCCTTGAGCAGCTCGTCCTTCAAGCCCCCCATGGCCGTGGCTCTGCTGCCCCGACTGCCCCTCAGCGCCTCCGCCGCCCCTCAGCCTGCGCCGCCACCGCCAGCCGCGAGGTCACCTGACCTCGGCAGCCCCGCCCCCTCAAGGCCCCGCCCCCCCTCCGGCGCCTGCCTGGAGCCGCGCGCTCTCTAGCTGGAGCGCAGGTCCACAGGTCCGGTTGCTCCTGCTGGTGGGAATGCTTAGACTTCTGCCCTGGGCAGGACAGTAAACACCATTCCGAATCCCCCTAACGTTTCCCAGACCAGCTCAGGCCATTTTTGGTGCTCTTGTACACCCGAAACCAATGCCCCCCATCCCGAGAAAAAAACATGAGAGACGGGGTAAGCAGCCTGCTTAGCTCCAGCCGGCGTCCCGCAGTGAAAAAGGGAGTCCTGGTCCTGCCCTGAGGACGGATTCACTGTCTGAGGAGGCCGAACAAGACCCGAAAAAGTCCCCTTAGTGGGGCTCAAATGCTAGGGCAGTCCCAAGTGAGGAAAATGCGGGGTTGGGGGAACCAGGGAGGACCTCTGAGGGAAGTTGGTGCGTTCATTTTGCAAACGTTTATTGACAGCACAGAGACGAGGTTGAGGTGAGTTAGAAATCAGAGGGTCCGGCAACCTTTTCGTTCTAACCGCAGCTCTTGAGGGTCAGTTCACATCTTATGAAGGGTTTGACCGGGGGAATGCTTCTGTCCCTGGTGTTTCTGTCCTTGTATAACAGGAGATAAGGGAGGGAAAGAACTCAGCAAATGACTCCACCATCTAACTAATAAGAGTGGGTGAGCCAGGCCAGGCGCAGTGGCTCACACCTGTAATCCCAGCACTTTGCAAAACTGAGGCAAGAGTATGATTTGAGGCCAGGAGTTGGAGAGCAGCCTGGGCAACATGGCAAGACCCCATCTCTACAAAAAAAAAAAAATTTTAAATTAGCTGGTTGTGGTGCCAGAAGCCTGTAGACCTAGCTACTGGGGAGGCTGAGGCAGGAGGATCGCTTGAACTCAGGAGTTTGAAGCTGCAGTGAGCTCTGATGGAGCCACTACACTCCAGGCTTAGCGACAGAGTGAGACTCTGTCTCAAAAAAAAGGGTTAGGCCGTGTATTTAATAAAAGAACTTATGCAAACCTAGAAGAGTGTCCTCCTGATCGTAGCTGTTCAATTAATGTCTGTTCACAATGGTCATTGAGCTCCTTGGGCTCAAATTTTCCATGTATAAAATGAGCATTGGCTGCACCAGATGTTCTGGAAGAGTTCTAGCATCCTAGGATAATGACTATTGCTAATTCGGGTCTGATTAAGTCACCAAGCATCTCTTCTCCAATCTCCAAGGAGTCACATGCATCTCCTCTCCAGTCCTAGCCTAAATCTGGACAATATGGAGAGAAGAATAAATATGAAGAGTTTACAAAACGATGTGGTTCTCAAATAAAGTTTGGTTTTGTTTGCCTTTATGTTCCTTAATGCATACATATATACCTTAAGAAAAAAGGAAAAAATCTTCATAAGAAAGGGATGTTTGGAAAGAGTAGGAAAAGAAGGAGCTTCCTCAATGAGTTTGAGGTCAGAAGGAGACCTGATGGGGCAGAGGAGAAGATGGCCCCATTGAAGGGAAGGGGCAGAAGCAAAGGGAATGTCAGCCCCTCACTGTGGCAGCCCTGAGAGTTCCGCTTCATTTCATCACCATTTGTCAGGACTTATCTTGTCCTACTACAGTCCATTTCTATCATTTATCTTCCCCAATTCCAGCCCAAGTCTACCAGTCAGCAAAAATGCATGGTTTAACTTCTAATTTCTTCACACCCACTCAGCTTCCCCTGCACAGTGACAAAAAAGAAACTCTCCTAATTCTCAAGGTTCAGCTTAACCACTAGATGACACTCCTTCTCTCTCAGTATCTGAAAGCACCAAACATATTTCAAAGCCTTTTTTGATCACATGACGAGGACATTCTGGACTTCCAAATTCCTCCTTTTCCATAATCCCCATTCTCACAATCCAAACAAATTTTAAAGCAGCATGATGTCATGAAAAGAGCCATGCTTTAGAATCTAACATATTATATTAGTTATTAATTGCTGTGTAACCAATTAACCCAAAATTTAGCAGCTTAAAACAAATATTATCTCATATTTTCTGTGAGTCAGTAATTTAGAAACAACTTAGCTTTATAGTTCTGGCTTGAGGTCTCTTGGAAGGTGGCAGTTAAAATATGGGGCTATAGTCATCTAAGGGGAGGCTGGTGCTGGAGAATCTACTTTCAAGATGGTTCATTCATGCGGACTGGGTGCTCACAGAAGACCTCAGTTCCTCCTAATGCGGGCCTACCCTCAGGCTGCTTGAATGTCTTTACAACACAGCAGCTGGCCTTCAAGTGATTCAAGAAAGAGAAAGGTGGAAGCTGAAACATCTTTTATGATCCAGCCTCAAAAGTCATTCACAGCCAGGTACAGTGGCTCACACCTGTAATCCCAGCACTTTGGGAGGCCCAGGCAGGAGAGGATCACATGAGATCAGGAGTTCAAGACCAGCCTAGACAATAAAATGAGACTCCCGTCTCTACAAAAAAGTTTAAAAGTTAGCCAGGCATGGTGGTGTGCACTTGTAGTCCTAACTACTCAGGAGGCTGAGGCAGGAGGATATTTGAGCCCAAGAGCTCAAAGTTATAGTGAGCTATGATAGCACTACTGCATTCTAGCCAGGCAACAAAGAAAGACCCTGTCTCAAAAAAAAAAAAAAAAATTCACCACCATTTTTCATTGCTCAGGTCAAATCTATTTAATGTGGCAGGGAAACTACAAAAGATCATGAGCATGAATACCAAAAGGCAAGAATCACTAGGGATCATCTTGGTAGTTGGCTACCACACAGATGTGAGGCAGAATCCAGGTTTCCCCATTTATTCACCTATAAGTAAATAAGAGGCTTCATTTCCTCATATGCAAAATGGGGATGCTGAATATCTTACAAACCTGATATGAGGCTTAACTGAGAGGCTAGTATGTGTGAAACATAGTATCATGGTATCTGACAACTACTGATGTTTGGCTCATGTGGTGGTTTTGTACTTTGTCAATTTAGCTAAACTGGAATTTGGTTCCCCAAATGTCCCTTCCCAGTATGGTTCCAGGATAGAATTGGCCACAGGAGAAATTTGTGTGAGATTTGGAAGGAGCAAGTGAAGCAGCAGTCCTCATGCTCTGAAAGTTGACGTGTGGTACCAGATGCCACCGCAGATCATGCAGTTGTTACTGGTCCAATAACACGCTTTGTTGGTGCAGAGCATCAGCTGGCCCACAGCTCCTCCAGCTCCCGACAGATTTCCTATTTCAGTTTCTCTAAGCCCTGGGATAAGGCACATGTGTAGTTCCATGGTAAGGGCATTTGCTTATGCTACAGATCACATGTTCATCCATGTGTGAGATGGCTGTGAGTTCCATTTTGTCCCTGAGGGCTCCAGTTAATTCTGTGGAGTCTAGTGTGTCCTCACTCTCCCCTAATTCAATCCATCTTTTCTTCCTGGCTGCTAGCCCTGATGACCTAGCAATTTCAGGCCCATTACTGGATGCAGAGGCAACAGCCCTCCATAGAATTCCTCACCAGCTTTCCTTTGTGATCCCTGGTTAGTGACTTTTTTCTCATCAATCAGCCATCTCCTTTCAGACCTTTTCTTCCCTAGCTTCTTCTGCAATTGTGTTGTATCTAATTCCTACAATAAATCCTGTATTCCATAATGGTGCTCCTTCCCTGATCAGCCCCTAACTGATACTGAAATTGGTAAAGTTAGAAAAAACCATGTGCCATTGGGTTTGGACAGAGGTGGGTGCTCAGGTGAAGCCTTGAAGGACAGTGAGGGAACTGTTATTGAAAGTTGGTGTTATGAGCATGTGTCCCCAAAAAATTCATATGTTGAAGTCCTAACCCCTAGTACCTCAGAATGTGGTCTTATTTGGAGATAGGGTCCTTACAGAGGTAATCCAGTTGTTATACAATGAGCTCATTAGGATGGGCCCTAATCCAATACGACCGGTGTCCTTATAAAGTGAGAAAATTTGGACATAAACGCGAATGTACACAGGAATAATTCCATGTGAACATGAAGGCAGAGATCAGGATGATGGGTCTAGAATCCAAGAAATGCCAAATATTGCCAGAAAACCACCAGAATCAGGGAGAGAGGATGGGACAGATTCCTCCTTACATCCCTTAGACGGAACCGAACCTGCCAACACCTTAACCTTGGACAATAAATTTCTGTTGTTTAAGCCACCCAGTTTGTGGTACCTTGTTACACAGCCCTAGCAAACTAATACAGTTGGATAAAAGGTGACCCTATTATGATAGTGACAGAAAGTTTGGCAACACTGTGGTCTGAGGTAATATAAAAAAATAGAAAGTGTAGTGGGTATAGTGGCATGCACCTGTAGTCCCAGCTACACAGGAGGCTGAGGTGGGAAGATCACTTGATCCCAGGAGTTCAAGGCCAGTCTGGGCAACATAGTGAGACCCAATTTCAAAAAGAAAAGAAAGGTTATCTAATGAAAAATAGAAAGGTCACTTATTAATCTTGTGGATTTAGCTAAGAAGATTTCCAATCAGAATGTCGAAATTGCCAAATAAGAAGAGAGTTGAACTAAAGAAGGAATTGTTTAATTTTCATGTAACATTTAGAGGGAAAATAAAAAAGCCAAGATTTACTAGGTTCAAAAGTAAACCTGTTTCTAATCTATAGTTTCTCCCAGCAAAAGATTCTCACAGCAGGAGATGGCCTAATAGCCAAGATAAATCCAGTACACTTCAAGTAAAGTATGGCCTCTGAGTACAAGTAACCTCAGAATTTGTTTTGCTTTGTTTTTGAGACAGAGTCTCACTCTGTTGCCCAGGCGGTAGTGCCATGGTGTCAGCCTAGCTCACAGCAACCTCAAACTCCTGAGCTCAAGCAATCCTCCTGCCTCAGCCTCCCAAGTACCTGGGGCTACAGGCACGCACCACCATGCCCAGCTAATTTTTTCTATTTTTAGTAGAGACGGAGCCTCACTCTTGCTCAGGCTGGTCTCAAACTCCTGAGCTCAAGCTATCCTCCCACCT